GACCGTTCTTTGTTATCTTAAGTTGACATTTTGGTGATTTAGGGAACATTTTTGGGTTTTGAAACCAATCATAGATTTTGACATGGGAAGTAACAGGCATTTTCACTTCATTGGCAGTTTTTGAAGATGTATTCAAGTAGGAGACATGGTACAAACAGACTGCCTGTCCATCCTGAAGGCTTTTGTTAAGCTTGTATAACATGGGGATTACCATACCCAAATACTGTATAAATACTGTATTATAATGCAGTACAGATAAGTCCAGTTGAGGTTTTTGATATTCTAATATTCAGTGTCCTTTCTGTGAATGCTCTGACTGTTGCTGTGGGATAGTAAGGTTCCCATTGTGAAATCCTGAGTCTGGTGTTTTTTGTCCCTCACCAGAACTGATGGATTGATGGATATTTTTATTGTTTGTCCTCAACAAGTTAGTGTGTGTTTTTCTGGTGATATATTGTCATGACGTGCTTTGAATACACCACAGGCTTTGGCTCATTGCTGATCTTGCATATTCATTAACCCTTTCTCTTTTATTAAATCTTTTTACTGGCAGGGAGCCTCAAAGGGAGAGTGCCGAGAGAAAACTTAACATTGCATTTTCTGATGTCTGTGTGCTGTCCTTCAAAACAGTTTCTGACAGTAAGACATACAGCCCCCTAAGTTTGCAAGAAATCATACCAGTTCCTCTTACCAAATGACTTCTGGATATTTATTTTTATTTTAGAGTTAATGTCCATTTTCGTTAGACACTTGGGCATTGGATTACCACATTGTTCCACGGTCTGGGGACAGATGACACAAAATGTGTCAGAGAGAGTGTCAGATGGAGTTTAATTTAACTGGACCAGGGTGAAATATCAGTGCTCCTCTAAAGTGCATTTCAATCTGTGAAATCTCAGATTCTGAGTGAAGAAATGGGTTTAAACACTACCTTACCTTCCTTCTTTTATAATAGCTTTTGTGTGTTAGTATAGTAACTTGAAATATAGGGATATTTTAGTGGTTGTTGTTTTATACCCACTGTTATATCTTGGGCAGACTGGTAGCAGAGCGTTCCTCATTCATAAATACACACTGCCTGATCAGTTCAGTAAAATTACATTGGGCTTAGGCCTTCAGTGACAGCTTTCAGAGGGGATGTATTCAAATAGGATAGAGTACACGATGCAAACAGACTGTCCATCTCAAAGGTTTTTGTTTCATTTTTTTTCTTATTTGGCACAGAGTACTGTTTTCATAAGATCACACACTTGGTTCTAAAAAGACATAATAAAGTAAGCAACACCTGCATATTTAGTACAGTAGACAGGAGCCAGACTCCTTAATGTGGGCGTAGAGCTCTGCTGCTGATGGAAAAGTTACTGCTGCCGAAGTCTCATTTTGAAGTACAGTACTTTGCTAGAACTGTATGTTTTCAAACTGCCAAAATCTTTTCCCTCCCTGGTTCATGTCTTAATTAACGTTGCTGAAAGAAAAGGTAAAGTGAAAAGGTTATTCACTGTTAGCATAGCAAAGCATTGGCTGTTTTTACATTACAGAATGCTATGTTGTGTTGAGAACAAAGTAATTTTGCCTACTACCACATTATGTGCTGTTCTGCACCTACTTCTGCAGTACGATCTCCAACATGATTACGGGTGTTCTGGTATTGTGATTAGAACAATCTGGGTTTTTTAATCCCCCATGCAAGGCATAACTGGAGTAAAGATGCAGAAAGATCCCTTTCCTACAACACTGACTTGGGGTTTCTGTTCCCACTTTTTTCTGTACCTTCAATGTCAAACGAGAAAACTGCAGAACTAACATCATCATTTGGCATTTGGCATCCGAAAATCCAGATTTTCTCTGTCCCTCATGTGGGAGCTATAGGTGTTGTGCAGGATTTTCAATTCTGAACACTTTTTTCAATAAATTTAAATTAATTACTCATTATTTTTGGATGAAGGTTTTCAGATTAATGTACTTGTCTGATAAAAGGGAGTTCTTTCAGGATTAAGATTAAGGACAAAAGCCGTTCTTGAAAAGAAGTGATGACACTTCAACCTAGTGATTAAACAAAATAAAATAATTTGTTGGTCAAGAATTACTTTTTGTAAAGCCACAGACTGTAAAAAAGATTCTCTTTTATTTCAAAGCAAAGGGTAATCTAGAATGAATGCAGAGAATGGAGAGGAGGGAAAGGGTAACTTAATGTGAAACATAGGCCAAGGCAGCCTGCTGGTGGGTGAAAATGAGAGGGAAAACATGGCCACAGCCTGCATGGCAAAGGGTTGCTAGAATGTGGCCAACAAAACTGAAGGAGTTGTTCTCTTTTAAAGAAAGTAAAGAGCCCAGTTTCTTGAAATATGGTCGTTGCTCTGAGTTACAGTTTAGAGTTTTTTTGAAAGGGAAATCCGGAAGACAATAGATTGCTGAAAAAACCCAGGCAAGCTTTAAACTTTATTAAGTCTGTCTGAGACAAAGGCCGCCCCCACTCCTGTGTGCTGGGGTTTAGTGGAGAAAGAGTTTGGCAGCCTCCATGCTGTGCACTTGATTGATGTCTCTGAACATCTGAGGGACTTTTTGTGTCCAGCTTGCCTGCTCAGAGTGCTTAATGTGTGAATACTCGAATAAGGTCATCCCTTATCGCATGTAATCCAGCCCTGAAAGCAAATCAGCAGTGACAGTCATACCCCATAAGTGAGAACACAAATCATCTACCCGCCTGCAGTGTACAAGTCATGAGATTTTTCTTTCTTCCCCTCTAAATTCCCTGTTCTGGCTCAGTGAAAGGAAGGCTTGTCACAGTCGTGAAAGCTTCAGAGCTGTACGTGCCTTGAATAACACAGGGGCCAATCAGAGTCGGGCTCGGAGTGGGGTGGGGAGGCGGGGGATTGTTTATTTGTAACAAAGTGATAGTCTTTTCACTAGGAGGTTGAAAGTGGGCTCTTCTATTGTTAGCTGCTAATGATGAATGATGTGGATTGTGAGAAAACTTGGAATGGAACGGAGCACAAGTTAAAAGAGGCTGTTCTTTTGTATCCAAGCGAATTGGGCTTGAAAAAGATTTCCATGCATTTCCATTCTTCGGCTTCATTTCTACAGCTGATATGGAGAGAGTGCAGCAACGCCAGTGTGATTTTAGTTTGAATATATGTGTTTTTAATCTGTGCAAGTCAACAGTCAATTTGTCACTGTCAGAAGGAAGCAAGTAAATTGTTTGCCCGCGACAAACGTGGTAGCAGCCTGGCTGGGGTACAGTGACAGGGGATATAAAAATAAAGTGATGGTCAGAATGTATAAATGTTGATTTCTGTAATGACGTTATTAATCAGCAACATCAGTTATTTTTCTAATGATTTCTATTGCAAATTATTCTGGCACATCAAAGGGTGAAGACTGAGCTTTTGCTAAGGGGGTGTGGCAAGGTTCCCCCGAGGTGTCAGTTTTAATATCCTAGAAATATTTTGCACATCGAAGATTTCTTTTTTCTAGTTTAGTAGTTAATCTACATGTCACACTACGCTGCCTTCAACCACATCTCAGTGTTTAAAGCTATTTTGCCGTGAGCCTGGATGCCACCTGCTGAGCTGTTTATTATTTCTTTCCTTTAACAATCATTAACTGTAGAAAAGAACGATTTGTTTCTCCAACTTGTTGCAAAACTAATGTACGAAAGTTTCTGGTGAGCTTGAATGGCCCATCTACAAGAAGGTTTTCAGTTTTAATTCATGGGTAGATTTAATTTTTTTATAAGGAACTGGAAATCCTTGTCAAAGATGGAAAACAAGTTGAAATCTGGTTTCATGCATAAACTTACAGATGAAAAACAATATCTTATAGGCTTTTACATACATCACGTCAGCTGACAGGCTTGAACATTTTGAGTACTGGCTGCGTCGGTGAACTGTGTGCTCCTGCTACACTTATGCGCCATTTGTGCTCTTCAGACTTCAGCCCAATCTGAGGCTCAGGACACTGGGGGATGCGTGGAAACTGGGCCTTCTGTTCTGTTGCTCCACAGCTGTGGAATGATGTCCCAGGCCATATCGGATCCTGAAAGTCTGCCAGCACATTCAAATCACATCTTAAAGCTTGCTTTTATACTTTGAAATATCCCTGCATTAATTTGTGTATACCTGTCGCTTTTGTTTTAGAGAGATTTGTATCAATATTTGTGATACAATAGAATTTTAAAAATCTAACTGGGGAATACACAAGGTCAGAGTACAGGAGAACCGCAATTAAAGCTGTCGGCTTTCTTCAAACCACTCTGTCCTTGTGCCATATCAGCGCGTTGACATTTATTCAGTGTTCAGTGCAGCAGCAAACTTTCTTTTTTGGGTAAATGATAGAATTAAAAAATGTCAGAAAAACAGAAAGTATGTAAAATCTAAGTAGTCCCTTGAGCTATAAGATGAAATTGAAAATGTGAAATAAATTTCTATAAGTTAGTCCTTAAGAGCATATTGTGATAATAAATTACATAATTCAGAGAATTAGAGTTTTAAGAAGTAAGACACAATGAATCATATTGTTCTCTTCCCAATACTGCGGTGACACTCAAAAATGCCACAATAATAAAACTATATTTCATCTGTCTCAGCCCGTTTCCTTTGTCACACTCAGCCGTCTGGAGAAAATGTGCGGGCCAGTCAAGAGGTGCAGAGTCCCGGTAGCTGTCTTGAGATCTGAATTTGTATTTTTTTTTCGTGCTGACTAAAATGCGAAAGACAGCCCTGAGTGATTCCTCTGCCTGGAGGGTGGGGAGAGAAGAGAATCCCCCCCTCTTGCTTCCTCTACCCCCCCCCCCCCCCCCCCCCCCCCCCCCCCTCCCTCCTTGGAAACAGAAGCTTCCAAGTGTGAGAAGTGAATCCAGGCTCCCGTGGCTAGAATCCAGGCCGGCTCAGGGTATCAGCTGCCCTTCTGTTGTCCTGCCCACGAGGTGTCCAAGCGAGGTCTGTCGGGTGACACAACCAGTGTTTAACAGGCTTGTGTCTCTCCCATTCCCTCCTCCCCAGGCTCTCCCAGCTGACTGCGTGGCGGAGCAGTTTTGGCCGAGGCAGTTCTCACCCACCAGGGGAATAAGGGAGAAGCCGAGACGACTGGAATACCTTCTGGACCAGGAGCGATGGGGAGGCTGGATGAACCAAGTTGGCAGATGTCCTTTTCTTTGCTCGTGCTTCTGTCCCTCCACACCAAGGGTAAGGAGCTGGGGGTCCTCTATTTTTCTGCTCGTGAATGGTGAAACAGTGGGTCACTTAGAATTTGGGGTTCAGTGCCTGGCTCCCAATTTGCCAGGACAGGCAGTGCGGGAGTCGGGACGATGCATGGCAGGGGATGGTAGCACTGTTCCTGCATGATAAAGTGCTTAATTTCTGTATTGTGGAGTGGAGTTACTGTGTTTTTTGTCCTCCTCCTCAAAGCTGAAAATCCTTCCCAGTTGTGACTTTTAGCATTTACTGTATATGAAGCTAGAACTTTTAAGGTTGCTGAATTAGTTAACGCCATACCAGTGGGGTTTGCTGTGCGTCACAAATCACAACTGCATTGCAATCCAGTTGTATTTCTGTAACAACAGGTGTTTGGTTGCTCTGCTTGTTGGATTGCACTTTCGACATGACAACAGTTTGTTTGGTGAAAAAAAAATGCAGTTAGATGGACCTTTTGAAAGACATTACTGCTTTTAGAAAGACATTTTTCATCTAGATTGGACAAATATTATAAGTGTTTAAAATCTTAAAAGGCAAAACATTTCTGCAGTACACAGGTCTGTAATTTAAAGTGATGTTATTTTTTAGGCTTTATTGTTTCAAAGTTAAAGGGTTTGTCTATCTTGGAGCTTAGAGCTTTTGAGTCATGTCTCAACTGCTTTAAAAAACTGGCCCTGCTTTCTAGAAAGAGGATGCATTGCATCTCTGCTTACGACTGGCCTCAGAGCTCTCTCTTTTCGTCCTGTTTGTCTTCCAGTTTGTTTTGGGATTTAATTTTATTTAGTGATTCATTTGCTTCCCTTTTCTCTCTGAGTGTCTGTGACATAATGTTTTCCTCATCTGTCTGGCACTCGCTGCTTTCACAGTTGGATCACAGGCTTCCTAAATCAATCAAGCACCAGCTCATGCTCCAGCTCATCATTTCATTATAAAAAGAAGTTGGGAAAACTGTGCACAAAGCAGTATATAGTCAGGTATTGACTTCCTTTCTAGATTCGGTGGTGTTTTTAAGGTATTGTAAAGTGTGTTTTATTCCACTCAAACCCTGAAACCTTAGGTGTTTCAAAATGGGTTGCCTTAAGAAGTATAACATATTTTTAGATATCATGACTGTGTCTACAAGGAACATATTTTACTTCAATTATATCCTTAAAAATATACGAACAGATGCTTATGAATGATGTCCAAATAGAAATATGTTTTAAGAAGAGGCTGTTACTATATTTTATTCAGAACTCAGTAAAAACCATTTAGTTGGGACAGTATTGAAGCAGTTGATGGAAACATTAGGAGTGTGCTCGCTGAAACCAAAGGGAATGGGAACTGCTTGTTCGAACCTCTTCACTGGTTCTAAATGATAATAATAACTAATTAATAATAATAATAATAATACAAAATCTGACAAATATTTTCTAGTTATCTCTTTTGTTTTGTAAGACCCAGTTTTCGCAGTCGCAGGCTCTATTTCAGTGAAAGTTCTCAGCAATGTGCCGAAAGCACGAAGAAAAAAGCAAAACAACATACAGAAAAAAAGATTTAAAATTATTGTAAATATTGCCTGAGCTCAGGTTCTGATAAAATTCCATAATGCATTGAATTTGTTGCCATTTGCAATACTCTGTACTAGGTTTACCTCTGCATACTGTATGCAGGCCAGCCAATCAGATTTAAAAATACAGTATTCACAAATGGCTTTTATTTAAATTATCAGATAGCATTAAAAATAAATATATTAATTATTCAAAAGCTTTAAGGCAAATCCAGAGCTTACAAATGATATACATGAATTTCTTTCTGAAAAAGGACGCACAAATACCTCTTACAGAAAGTTCTGACGACTATGTCAAGTTTTGACAGTTTTGACATAACAGAGACTTTATTTCTGAAGGCAGGTAGCAGTGATATCAAAACAGGTGTCGTCACTAATGAGTCTCGTTTACAGGAGAAAGATAAAATTATTGAATTGGATGGATTTGTTTGTTCTAAAATGTGGATGTTAATGCATGTGTGGTAGTTATACATTGCGTAAAGCTGTTTTATGACAGGAGTTTGCGGATTTTTCCCTGATAAATAGCTCCTTGCACAGCATGGGGGCATAAGGAAGTTAAAATCTTCCAACTGTGTTAAGAAAGACAGTGGAGCTCCTAACGACTTTACTGACCTCATACACTGAGGAGTCACTGAGGAGTGACCCAGCTCTTGGAGTTGCAAGAGGCCAGTTGTTTTTCATTAGAAGAAACAGAGTTTTATCTGTTTGTGAATCCTTATTTCCTCAGAAATTCTGAATAAGAGCACATCATATGTTTTCCAACATAGTTTTGGAAGGTTTAGGCAAATACGGTTCTGAAAAATAAAAGCCTTGACTTTCACATGAAGTGACTTAGACACAGTAGGTGCTGACTGTACAAAATACAGATTGGACCACACGATAGACACAATAATTGGAAAATAGACAAAACAATTCAGCAATCTGACAGTCCTGTAAGCATGACTAAATGCGTAACAAACAAGCAGTAACTTAATAAAAGAGAAGCAGTAGAAGGAAAAAACCCAAGGTATCATAGAAAATTAAATATAAGAAAGAAAGAATGAAATGAAATATGATAATAATATGATTGGATGAATGAAATGATTGGTAAGAAATATAAATGGAAAATCTATTATAAATTGAAAAATATAATAAGCAATTATAATTATTGATTAAAATGATAACTTTTATGCATGCAATCCTACTGTAGAGAGGATACCAATCTGTGTCTTTAGGACATTTTTAAGTTGTTGGATCGTAGGCATATATTGGTATTATTTTGAATTTCTTTTTTTAAATCTACTGATTTTAAAAACCATAGAGTGCACAGGTTTTATATTTTGGAAGATACATCTTTTTCAGTTTTCTGTATTCATGAGAAAAAAAAAATAGATGACTTACAATTTCTGGCCCTTTTTCTGGCTGCTGTTGTGTGGAATAATAATTGAACTAAATCATTACTATAAATAGTAAAATCCACTGAAATCAAGAAGCAAAATAAAATATTTTTTTCTGATTTTTCTGATTTAACAAAGGTCATTTTCATTGTCTAATCAAAAGCCATTTTTAGTTGCTCCTGCAAATGCCCCTAACCCTTACAGTTTCCCATTTCAATTCAGTCACTGTTTTTGCTTTAGCTTTATTTGTTAAAAAGACAAATATTAAACTGCTGAAATATTTTCGTATAACCAAATTATATTCAGCACAGAGACCGCACACAGCGACTTCTGCCAAGAATAAGACAGATGTGTGTATAGAGGAATCAGCCGTTTGTTTTGTGAAATTGTCAGCTTATTTCAACAACTTCCAAGTACGCCTAGCATTTGTTTTTCAACCACAGAATACATTGAAAACATGCTACGAATTGTGACAGTGATGCTGTGCCAACTCCTTTGGACACAGCTCTTACAATCTCTCTTTTATGCAAAGATACTTAAGGAAGCAGCAATACAAACTGTGTTTTGTAGTTAATCGTTTGTGTGTAAACACTCAGCTGGTAACTCCTAACAATTATAGCATAGGATGGTCAATACAGCCCTATCACAAGATAGAAAGACCTTAGCCAATTACAGGAACTTCTTTTTTTAATATCATTCTAGTGATATGAGTTTCTAGTATCTAGTGACTTGTATCTAGTGACTTGAGATTCTAGTATGTAGCGACTTGTCTCTAGTAATTTGAGATTGCTCGGAATGATTGCTAAGTGTATGAGGCTCTTTAGGGGCAGAATTGGAAAGATTTTGCTCAAGGACAAAGCCAAGAAAAGATGTAGTAATTATGGCACAAAAAAAAATTTCACATAACGGTGGTGTATTTGTTTAATTAAGGAAAATCAACTATATGTTTATTTAGTTGGAAAAGGTACTTTTGCACTCGAATGATAAGCTTTCAAAGTTGTTTTGTCAGCCTTAGTTGATGGCTTGTATATATAATCTGATCTTTTTTCTGGTTATAACCAGATATTGCAATCCCAGAATGAGGTTTGATAGTCAATTGTTTATTTGACTTTAGGCAGATGGAAAATTTAAAGTTCTTGCTATTATCCACCCTTTCTAATTATTTTATTTATTACCTGTTGGAATGTCCATTATATATATATACTAAGAGATTCCTTGTTGGTTCTTTTATCAAGACGATGTTCTTTGCCAAATACCGATTCCAGTATAAACAGCTAATGGAAAGGTATGTATTACTCTTTTAAACTGATGACAGCCAGATATGCTTGATAATCTCTCCTGGATATCTTTACAATCTCGGTATGCTAGAAGAGCTTTCTTCAGAGTGCCAGAAAGACTCCGTTCCCTGTGGCAAATTCGCCACAGTCCTCCGACGAGGAACCCAGGCTTGCGCCTTGGGCGCTTACCCACCCTTTGTGGGCAGCTTGAGCTTATACCTTAGAAACACAGGGACCCCGTCTTTGTCTCGCAGATGAGCATGGGTATTTTTCATGTCGAAGTGACATTGTGTAAGAAGTAGAACAGCAAAGCCAAGTGTGGTGCACGCTACAGTAAACCATAGCTGGGCGAAGTAATTGTGTGAGCTCACAAGGAAAACTGTCGAAGCAGCGTGTGGCTTGAGGGGGTGCACTGTCAGCACTGAAGGGTGCTAAGACTGATTATCACACTCCAGCCTCCTCTTGCTGTGATGTCTGCAATGCTCTGCTTGTTGCCGGCTCCCACGGAAGCTGCGGCAGAATGTTCCACCTGAAGATAAACTGCAGGAGCAGAATTTCAGTGAAAAGCAGCCCTCACACTGGGAAATCTCTTATTGCCGATGAATTTGACTTAATTTATGTGGTTTTATCCAATCAGTGTGAATGTAGACTTATCTGTAGTGCTCCTGGCCACATGTCTGACCATCAGTTGATGTTATTATTATTATTTACAGTAATTATTATAATTTAGAATCAATTGTTAATTATTATTATTATTAATAAGCTGGCCATATTGTGTTACTATTACTC